CTAAGAGATACCTGGGATGTTTGCAACGTATCGACGGCCTTTTCCACATCCGAGAACTTTTGTGATATGTCCGACATGGTTTGCTGCATAGCTTTGAGGGTTTCGGCCAATGATATCTCAGCAGCGTCTCCTCCGGACATTGTTGCTTATCTCGGAAGTGTGATAAAGAAAAAAAAAATCTGACCACTCAAGAACTTAATTTCCCCACAGACGGCGCCAAAATGTGGATGTCGGATTCACACACTCAAGTATTTTGTTAAGCGGGAAAGATTATTCTTGAGGGACAAAAATGAATATGTAAAAACTTATAAATTGATACGAAAATTGCTATAGTATTTCTCTCTTTTGAGGAAGCTCTCTTTTACATGGCCATTGGCCTCTATATTTATACATAAATAAACGACATTAAAATGAGCAATTAAGTACAATTATTTCTTCTTAAATGTGTCCGTTTTGATTCTTCGGCTTTAATGCTCAACGTTTGAATTTGAGTGGACTCTGATCTTCATGGGCCTCGCCTCTTTTGGCCCAAGTGCCCTTGAACCGACTTACCCATGTCTTCTACACCGAACTCGTGTCACAGTGCAGTCACTTCGAACTCTCGAAGTGGTGACAACCACTTCGACCGTTCCTTTGGCTCATGGGTCCGATGGGCTTCGTCCTTTATGGACCATTATCTTGATTACGTGGCAATCTTTGGTTGGTCTCGTACTTCTGGTGCGGGATCCGACACCAACAAATATGATAAAGATCCGGTGACAAATCGATCGAATCCGGTGAAGAGTCAGTGCCAATTCGGCAAAATACGGTAAAGATCCGGTGACAACTCGATGAAAACCGGTGAAAATCAATCGAAAATCCGACGAAACTTATGATATTTAAGTGCCCAATTACGATGCACTATTACACTTGCTCTCTGCAACAGTTTGGGTTACAATGGTTGTAATTATGTTTGAAGCAAGTCCATAAATATTAATAACGCTCTATATATGTGTTTACATGTATATAAATATTAATAACGCTATATATATATATGCGCATATATATATATATATATATATATATATATATATGTGTTTATATGTATACAAATGTTAATAATGCTTAATGTACATGTTTACATGTATACAAATGTTAATAACGATATATATATGTATATATATATATATATATATGTGTGTGTGTTTATATATATACAAATGTTAAATGTTAATAATGCTTAATGTACATTTTTACATGTATACAAATATTAATAATGTTCTATATCTATATATATATATATATATATTTACATGTATACATTGATCCATATATGTGTTTAGATGTTTACAAATATCAAAATCGTATCTATACTAGATTTTAACCCGCGGTACACCGCGGAGCTATATTTTCTTAAAAAAATCAAAATGTAATTTGTTTGATAGATTATTTTGATTGTTAATTTTAGGATTTCACCCGTGGTATACTATCTTTTATAAATATCAACCCAAACCCGTCCCATCATATTACCCGTCCCATCATATTACCCGTCCCGTGAAATTAAACATCATTTAGTTATTTTTCTTTTTAATAATACTTTTATTTAAAAGCTATATAATTCAAGTCAATTTAAAAATTTCTTTTAAATGGTTCCCATAAGATATATATACATATATATTAAATTTGTATAGAGTTGAAATAATATTAATATTACAAACTTTTTATATAATTTAAATATTATAAATATTTTTAAAAATATGCAATATATATTTTTTGTTATTGAATAAGAGGATATTATGTGTAAGAAATGTAGAAAATAAGAGTTTAATATTTTTATTATGGAGTCGCAAGAAAAATCTTTTATTTCTATACATGTTATTCGTTTATTAATAATAAAAGAAAACAAATCCTTTAAATTAGATATTAACTAAAATAAACGCACCATAATTACTTATTAAGTAACAACCAATAAATTTCACCAAAAAATAGGTAACAACCAATAAATTCTAAACGCAGTAATTAAAGAATGAGATATTAAAAAAAATATCAAATAAGATATAAGAATCTTAAAATAATTGAATATCTAAATAATTTAATTGTTAGTGTCGATTTTAATGCCTTCATTAATGTGGATTTTTTTTTAGAGAGAAATATTTCCTAAAGATTATCACATTAATGACTCAGAAAATTAAGGAATATATGAATTTATGATTCTCGAAATCGTGTTGGTAATATCTTTAATTAATATTTTTCAAATTTAAATAATTAATGCCAATGGCATTCATCCGTAAATACATTCCAACTCCAGGATTTATTTGCTAAAAGTCATCCAAAAAAGTATATATAGATATAGATATCATAATTGTTCCCAATCATATTTTCATTGCATAACACATCTATATATATTCTAAAGTGATGCATTATTTATTTTATAAACAAACAAAATGATAAAACATAATAATATTTAACGTATTTTACAAATTTTTATAAAATGCATATTTGAAATCTAAATTTAAAAGAAAATACAAAACAAAATATGTAGCTCTCAAAACTAAATCGGTACTTAGGATATTGTATGTTACTGTCTCTATATTTTTTAACCGTAAAACTAAAACAAAATTAAGATATAGATATATAGATGATACATTTAAATTTTATAAATAAATATAATTTTCTCAAATAACAATCAAAATAATTAACATTAAATGATTTTCTAAAATATAGCCACCGCGGGTTCAAATCTAGTAATATATATTTGTAGAGTGCTAAAATTTCCTCAATTTGATAAAAACACAATAATTAATGTTCATCCTTCTTTCTATTGCCGCGTAATGGTCACTTCTACAACAGAGAATTTAATATATGTCATATCATTCTTTTTTGTCAAAAAAGTCAAGACCCTTATCCCACTCGCATAGCTGTGTAAGCACATGGGTTTTCCGTGATTATTTTAAAACGGATGGCCATTAGTAACAATCTTTTTTCTTTTGTCTGAGACAAAACTGACATTTACCGATTCGCAAATTAGAGGCTCTAATTTTACCTCTGCGCTAAGTCTCCCATTTGTTTAATGGTTATTATTAAATAGGTGTTGGAATTAAGCAAAATTGGAAAAAAATGCTTCAGCCCAGCCCCGTGTCAAAAAGCAGGGACGCAAGGCTGCATGGAGTTTTGTAGAAATATAAGCTTTTTACTATTTGGTGAATGTACTACTAATTCTGATCAATGTTGTTGTGTGACTAAGACAAAATAATCTAATCAAAGATTGATATTTTCTAGTCCTGATAATTATACTGTTATTAACCTCGGAGGTTTAAGATTACAAATCCAAAGAAGCTATTTCTTCAATCTTCTTATAAATAGCCTTATTGGTTTTGCTCTTAAAATATTTTGAGCCCAAACAAGTGGCCCACTCTATATCTGGTCAGCAAAAATGATGTTGGATTTTAGAAGCCAAGCCTTCTAAATTTTGGTAAAGATCTGTTTCCATCCGAGAGCATTTGGGAAAATGGGTCCATAAAAGTCCATTAACCAAAAACCTAATATTGCGCAATTCGCAATTGTCAAAATGGTTTTGGTTTAATTGGTCGAAACATTTCAAAATCTTCGAAAGATTCTCGGTTCGGTCACTAACTAGACTTCTTAGCATACTCCCCAAGGAATTTTGAGGCTTGGCCCATAACTTTTTTCATGCACGGTTCTTTTCTATTTTCGATCTTCATTGTGTAAGTTCCGTTCTAATAATTTAGTAACCTAAACGACATGTGGGCCGTATATATTGATTATAACTTATTAGGTAAACGTTTGGATCCGTTAACTTAAAAATTGGTTCAGAAAAAATTAGATGAATATGACATTCAATAAATCCTGAACAGAAAACTATTCATAAAGTTTTGGATTCATTAGGGGAATTATAAATCCCGACATCTCGTATTTTCACATCCTCGGATAATAACAGGGAACATGGCCTTGTGACTTGTGTATATGTTTTGTAGTCGAAAGGGAACACTATATGAACAATGCATACCCTACTTTTGCCCATCTTTATACACAAAATCCTCTCCCACGTATAATTTAGCGGTCACGTAAATGATTTTATCTAATTTATTACAAGGGTCCTACTAAACTTGTAAGCCCCGATCGCGATCAAGTGAATCTTTAACTATTACAAGGTTATTCATAATTGACATTTGTGACACTATATATATATGCTTTGATTCTCACTGTCACCTGTTACTTACAATTCAAAGTGGTTGACTGTTACGTCTACAATGAAATATTGTTGAAACTTGAAAGAGATATTAAATTTGGAGATTTTGGTGGCCAAAACATTTATGTTTTCTTAGTTTTAAAAAGAACAGCTGTTTGTAAGAACTACAAAAGTCGGTAAGTAATATATTTTTAAAAATATTAAAAACAAAAATTGTGAAGAAAATACCTCTACCAGTACTTTTCAGTGAACTATAGGATACAAGTGCAGTGTAAGGTTCATATTTACGTTAAAAACTAAAAATATGGGTAAAATATTTTTAGTATTCAAAAGTATTTTCTATCTAAAAATATGTCATAGTCAACATAACATAACTCACTACACTGCATGTCCTTGTCCGGAAACATTTTGTATTTAGTTCTCTTTAATATCTTTAGGACTTGCTTTAGTTTACAAGTAAATTTAGTGTAGTGACTTGTATTAATTAGTACCATATTATCAGCATGGTAGCGAGATCCATCATTGAGTTTACGTATTTGATTACTAAAGATACAATTGTTTCACAAAATTTTTAAGCAATATATCATAATGAGATCTGGTGTCGACTTTCGATACTTCTAAGCTACTTAGAGCCATATATATGCCCATAAAATTGGATTTATTTATGATTTATTCAGCTATTATAAATGCCACATGGACATGGATGATGAAAACAAGACATTGTGGTATGACCTAATGGACAAACATTAAGAGACATGGTAGAAAGCACTTCTCTGACTTGTCTCCGATTAGTTAAATACAAAGTCGCATATAAGAAAAAAAAAAAGGGATTTGATTTCATTCCAATGTATTTTTATAGTTGCATTTTTGTTATTTTATAAATTTATGTACGGGTTACTTTGTTCAATAGCAAATTGAAATGAAAAAAAAAAAAAACTCAAGATTATTAAACAACTACCACAATAGCAATATGCGCTTTCAGGTTTTTACAAGCTAGAAATATAGTCCAGTAAGGATGAAAATTTCTGTATTTTATATTTTTTTTTGTGGAAAACTACATTTGTATTTTCTCTTCCTCCATTATTTAGAGAGGAATATGGAGAAATAAAAATATTTTTTATATAACTATATCATATTTTATTAAATTTGTAAAAATGGACATATATAATTATCCATAGTGATCTCACAAGCATAATTAATTATGCAATGTCATCATTTATTTTTGTCATTCTCTTTTTTTTTTTTGTTTCTAAGTGAAGTTAATATATTTCCCTTTCTTTTTCTTTCTATCTATTTAACAAAATTGACTTAAACTCGCGTTACCGCTGAAAATGTTATTGATTTTTTTCTTGCATATATCTTGATTGATATTTTTAAAAACAAACAAAAATTACTCAAGAAATATATATGTGATGTTGATGTTGAATGAGAACGTATTATTCTATATAGAGTACTGCACATTATGTAAGTACACCATTTTTGGGTCTAAATTATTAGGGTTTAGAGTTTTGTTTGTAGGATTTAGAGTTTAGGTTTTGAAATTTAGAGTGTCAATAGAATATACACTATCGTTTATCTAGAGACGATACTTCAACCTATTGAACTATACAAATCTTTTGAGGAAAGTAGGCAATATCTCGAAATCGAATCTTGATAAGGGGAAAAAAGACTAATATATGGTGTTTAGTTCTCCAATCCGGCATAACACTAGAGCATAAGGTCTATAATCTTTTGCTTAGTAAAAAAGTATTACCGGTATATTGCTGAGACTAAAAGACAGCATAGGCAACACGAGACTCTCGTCTAGATTACTATGAAAATATGTAATCTTATTAAAACCCTAATCACCCAAATAAAAAGACGGAAAGCAAATAGATCAAGTTCCAAAGCGCCTTAAAAGAAGCCGAAGTAGGATAATCAAGCATGGCATGTGGCCTAAAATCAAAAGGTTTGGTATTAACCCTCCCAAATGTATTTAAGTCTCAACTATAATATACTAAATATAGACCCGTGCGTTGCACGGGTTGCTGGTCGAAACTATCAACTTTTTTAAAAAAATTGTAATTTTAACTAAAATTATATAAACACTAGATTATAACCCGCGGTACACCGCGGGACTATAATTTTTTTAAAAAATAAAAATTTAATTTGTTTAGTAGATTAAAAATATATATGATTTAATGTTTTGTATTTTTTAAATGTACAATTCTTATATCTATATATTTTTAGTGTACAATTACTATGTTTAATTTTTACTGTTTAAAAATATAGAAACAATAACATACAGTTCATTAAGTTGAAATCTAGATTATAACTATATAATTCAAATTTTAATTATATTTATTTTTTTAAGATAGTATATATTTACTATTTTTAAGATAGTATATATTTACTATGTTTAAGATAGTATAATTGTATTTTGATTGTTATATCTAGGATTTCACCTGTAGTATACAGTCTTGTATTACTATCGACCCAAACCTGTCTTACCATCTAATACCGTTCAGTAAAATTAAACATATCTAATGCATTTCACCCGTGGTATACCGTCTCGTATTACTATCGACCCAAATCCGTCATACCATCTAACCCCATTCAGTGAAATTAAATATTATTTTATTATTTTTGTTTTAATAATAATTTAATGTAAAAGATATTTAATTCATATCAATTTAAAAGTTTTCTTTCAAATGGTTATTTAAATGTTGTAAATTTCATATATTATAATATTATAAATCCGTCATACCATCTAATCCTGTTCGGTGAAATTAAACATTATTTTTTGTTTGAATAATACTTTTATTAAAACATTTATAATTCAAATCAATTTAATGTTTTCTTTCAAATGATTATTTAATTTTTATAGATTTCACGTATTATATATATTCTAAACATTTTTTCCGTTAAAATATTCTAAACGTTTAATAAACTTTAAATAACTATAATATTTATCTTTCAATAAAGTATAATATTAATAATGTCCTAAGATTTCTCCTTTTCTTAAGTAATTAGAATTGATGGAAATATATTAGATAAAGAAATTCTAGTAATTAAGAATCTTAATTAATTGATAATAATTAATGCCAATGGTATTCTTTGTAAATAAGTTGCAACTTGAGGATTTATTTCATAAAGTGTTTCAAAAATGTATATATAGATATATGTTTTATTTTTTGAAAATGGCATAATATATTTCCAATAAATGATAAATAATTTTTACATGATTATGTTATTTTTAAAGTCACCCTATCACCGCCTGCATAACCATCAACCACCACCATCGTCACCTCAATTAACAATCACATGCTACTCCTATTTCTTTTAGTATGACATGCTATTTTATTAAATGACATTGTTTTTTCCTCTGATTCTCATTAGATGTCTCTCTTTCGTCGTCAAATTTCCAGTTTTGATTTTTTTTTCTGATTTCCTGTTATTAATATTTATTTCATGTTTTCTTTTAATTACATGTATGTTTTGTCTTTTGCTTGAGGACCATTTCATCTTTGGAAAACATTAGATTTCAAAGTTCTTTTTTTTACTTACAAAGGTTAATTACTAATATTATCCTAAAAATAATTTATGACCTAAAAAAAAAGAGGGAAAGCTTTACCAATAGAATAAAATTAAAGCAATGGTGCTGTTTACGAAGAAATTAGTTTGTTTGGTGAGAAAATATGAGACAATCTATTTGTTTAAATGTAGGTGAATATTTACAATCATTTTTCTTATAGGATTAATCACGGATTATATAATTTCTTTAATCTTTTTTCTATTTTGAAATCATTTTTCTTGTACAGTTAGCATAATTTTATGATTTCGATTTTTATGAAAATATACATATAATTTACTTATATATACGTATAGTTTCCTTATAAGAATATTTTTTTTATTTTTAAAACCGTTTAAATTTATAATTTTGTTGTAGTTATCTTTTTACAATTTTTAATTTTGTTAAAACCAAATTTTTGTGTGCCACATGGTAAATCTCTTATGGAAATATAGATATAATTTCCTTATAATTATTTTTTTACATTTAAAACTGCTTAAGTTTCTAATTTTCTTATAATTATTTTTTTCCTTTTTTAATTATTAAAAAAAAAAATTATTTGATACATGGCAAAATCTAAATCGATAAGTTTGACACATGACACGATCACGTGAATTACTAACTTTGAAAACCATACTTTATATAATAAGATATATAAAATACTATCTATATGATTTAACAAAAAAACTATAATACTATATATGCAGAAATTGGAGTTATTATATATGTAATGTAATACTCTCCCAATACATATA